ATAATGTGTGGCCATAAGATAATAATGAAATTAAATGTTCATTTAATTAAATCAGAGAAAACATAGTTTCTTCACTTTTAAATGAGTGCAGTGCATTGTGGTTGCACCAGTAACCTCTTCATTATGTTGTGCAGGTGAAGCACTGGTTTTGTTGCCCAAAGCACAAAAAGCTATGCAGATTTCACAAACCATTATATATGAATCTCACTACACTGGACCTGTTTGAAGTCTCCCAGGTTAACTCTGGCTCTCTTTGTGTCTTTTTACAGACTTGGTAGCTCAGAGAGGAGAGAAGCTGGAGTTGCTGATTGACAAGACAGAAAATCTGGTTGATTCTGTGAGTTTAAAGTCCAGTGTTTGTTTTGTGTTTTCTCCTGTTCATCCAACTTGTTTTCTAGTGCATGATGTTTGGCAATAGGCAGTGTACATTTTGATCTTTTGAGAGTAATCTAGCAAGCGACTTATCCACAAGTGTCGTCACTGGTGTTCCTTGCTCTCTCTTCACTCCATTTAGTCGGTCACATTCAAAACTACGAGTCGTAACCTGGCACGAGCCATGTGTATGAAGAACCTCAAGCTGACTGTTGTCATTGTGGTGGTGTGCCTGGTGAGTACTGGATAGAAACGGTTGTTATTGGGATGCAGGGTAATTGTTCTCTCGCCAATTTAGTGGATTATTACATATAATATATTAAATGGTTTTTTTGGACATGGAAAATGACCCAGATTACTTACTAGCTACTACAGCTGTGATTTCCAGCTATGATGAGACTCAGCTGTCCTGTAAATCTCCTGTAGTTAACTTCACATCAATAACAACACATTGCAGCTAAGGCTGGCCGATATGGCCAAAAATCTTCCATCCTGATACAGGTCATTCCAAATCCCGATACGGGGATATATATATATATATATATATATATATATATAGATAGATAGATAGATAGATAGATAGATAGATAGATAGATAGATAGATAGATAGATAGATAGATAGATATCTCACGATTTAGCATGTTTTCTGATAATTCAATAAATAAATAGTTTATATATATAATCTCTATGATGAATGAAAAGTACTGAGTATTTTTCATTTAATTAAGAGCGTCAGTGCAAATTAATCAGATTTTCTAAGAAATTTGAATTAGCATGTGCTAATTATTATCAATCTAAACAACGTAAATGTGTATCATGATATCTCTACATATGATTTAATCGCGATATGATTCAGTTGAAAGATGATAACCTATCGCCCAGCCCTAAATGCAGCAGTGCTCTTTCCTCAGAGGGCCCTTCAGCATGGTTTGACATTGACTGAAGGATCTCCTCCTGTGTGTTGGGACTGCATGGCTCACGGCGTGATTGGTCAAACAGCAGTGCAGGAACTTAACTTTGTACCCGTCCTCCTTTCAGGTGGTCCTTTACGTTATCGTTTCTGCTGCCTGTGGAGGCCTCAACTGGCCCTCATGTGTCAAATGAGAGGAGAGAGGGGGGAAGAGGGGGAGATGCACCTGTTCAACCCTGCCTGCCAGTGGACACCAAAGGAAACTTTCCTTCCCCTACTCCTCTAGCTTCAACATCGCCGGCAGATACATGCTGCTCCTCCTCCTGCCTCCTTCCTCTGCCCTTCTTTGATAGCGTGCACATTGACTTGCCTTCTGGACAGGGAGTCCCACCTCATACCCACACTAATGGACAGCAGCCATGTGGCCTAAAACTGATGTGGAACAACAATCTTGTCTTATACTAGTCTGGTACATTCATTCTGTCTCACGCACTTAGTGGCCTGATGTATCCGTTTGTGATACTGCCCTGCACCTACCTATGTATTTCATCCAATCAGACTGATACCGTCATGAACCACACAGATAGCAGAGATAGCTTTGTAATTTTCCTTTGGAAGTGACATATGGGCCCTGCAAGTATAAGTAGCATGTTGCAGATCCATCAAGAAGGAATCCCACAATACAATGTCTGGTCCTCCGTTACATAACTGAAAACTAATTTTTTTGACAAAAACCAGTGCAGTATACAGTACGTCTTAAGTGGCGAGTGTCCGATGAACCATGTTGTAGATGTCTCATGAATTTGCTCGGAGTCACAGATTTTCTGATTTCCTTCATGTTTTATCGCAAAGCACAGTCGTATATTCTAGAATGGATGTTGTAAAATACCAGATATGATCATACAAATAAATATTGTAAATTTGATTAATTTTACTGACTCAAAAGATGTAATGGTTGTTTTAAATCAAGCCTAACATTTGAGCAAATCCTGATCTCTTTCCTGCCTTTTCACCTCTGCTAGGATGCCCATATGTTCAATCTGTTAACACAATGCACTTTTTACATTGTACATAGATTTGCTTCTTAGCATAATGTGGTTTATAATCATGTAATTATTGTACATCCAGATTTGACATAATAAAATCTGATCAAGTTGGTGATCTCTTCAGATGGGGAAAAAAAAAAGTGTTTTGATATTTGTGGCTTTCATTATAGACACCTGACCTAATTACACTGATAAGAGCTGAACTGATTCTTTCATTAATTGATTTCAACTGTTAATAGTCTCTCAACTCATCACACTGTGTCAGAGTTCAAACAAACGACACTTCTTTCCCGACACAATAAGCTGACCTCTAGTATGAGCGGCCGGTAGGTTTGAATGACAGAGTGGCATTTGTTTGTTCGGGATGCTCTGAAATAGGGAAACGACCAGGTGAAAATAACTTATAATTAGGACCTCGTTAGCGGCGCGCTCCCGTCGGTCCTTCTCGCGACTGTAACTGATCATTAAACCGATGGCCAAAGAAATGCTTTTGTTTGTTCAGTAGACGGCAAATAACGTTACAAACTAACAATCCAGTGCAGTTAACTTTGTGCTTTTACTTACCTAATTGATAACTGTTTGTCTTGGTGGGCAAAGTGGTAAGTCAGTTTTTACGTTTATCCCTATACTTTAATTGAGTAAGTTAGCGAACAGTTAACTTACCTGATGTACCAAAAAGTTCCAGTCAACCGACATTAACGAGCTGACGTTTGTTTCTCGATAGCTAACAGTTAGCTAGCTCATATAAAGCTAATGTAAAGCTAGCTTATTGGGAGTTATTTTATCTTTTTTTTCGCCCGTTGAAATAAAAGCTTCTTATATACAGTCTATGTTTGAAAGCTAATGTAACTTTAGTAAATGGTATTCTGCTATGTTTGTAACTATATACAAACCTGCTAACGTTTAACTAATACCGGCTCATTTTAACATAATACTAGCTAACGTTAGCTTATTCCTTAATCCTTTAAAGGGCCTCAGACATGTTGTGTAGTCCGTTTTAAACCGTTTGTGGACTTGAAAGAGTATTTTCCTTGCTATAGACGCATAGTATGTTTACTACTGGTCTAATTATAGAGCTAGCTGGCTGGAAGAGCACTCACAGGATGTTTTGATCAGAAACTGTACAGGAGCCAGAGAGGACCGAGGTAATGTTACTCCAAACACACCCAGCAAGATTGATTTATGTCATGTTGGCTTTAAATACTCACATTTGACCTATGGACTCCCTGTTTATCTGCTTTACCATTGATTAAACTAAAAACTTTAAGAGCAATTTCAAAATGCTCTTGGTGTTGATTGCACAGTATTGCATGGTGAAATGATTTTCTTCAACACCTTATAGTGCTACACAACAAACACTTTTATCAACTGTTATTAGAGCATATAGTGTAATATCTTACATAGCATCTCAGATGGAGTGTGAAGGTTCATTCCTGACCTGCAGTTTGTCAAAAAAAGGATCTTAACACAATGTTCAACTCAATGTTTGTTTGTTTGTTGTTGTTGTCCACTCACACTTTAGACTCACTGAATGAAGAGCTAACCAAGATGCATTTGCACAGCCGCTGACACATCTGACATGCATCTGTTTTTCACTAGATGGCATAGGCCCACAGCTTTGTCTTGTCTTGAAAGCCTCTTCCTTTCCTTCTTGCTGGAGCAGACGTACTAATATCCCGGCTGTTGAAAGACAGTGCCACGCTATTCTTCTAACCAGGCTCGTTGGTGTGCTTTTGTTCCCTGCTTTACAGAGGACAGCGTTGTCCCTGTGGTATGCTGGCTGGAATCCCCCAGCTTGACCTGCTGCCCTGCTTTAGTGTGGTGCGGCTCTGTGCCTGGGTTTTTGATGGCTTTCCCTGCTACTCATAACTGCTCACTTTATCATACCGATATGTCCAGTCATCCATGCAAAGGCAAGGAAAGGCCATTTGAGTCTTTCTGCACAGTGCCTTAGGGGCTTCAGACATAGAGAAGCATTGGTCTGTTCATATCACTCCATTTTTAATGTAGAAGGCCATTTGTAGGCTGTAACTTGGCTTTAATTTCTCTCGGCTAAACAGAGGTACTTAGTGAGGTCTCATGTCAAACAGTATGGTTGATGATGAATCTGAGACAATTACAAAATAATGTAACTAGTTGACAGTTTAATGTGAGTGTTGGGTATCAGAGGGATTTTGGCCAGTTATCGTCTTGGTTTTGAATTCATTTTATATGCTTTCAGAGTGTACGGTTTAGGTTGGCAACATGCATCACTCAGGTTTTATGTCTAAATGCTGGTTTTCTAAATTCTGTTGAAAATGAACATTACTTCTGCATTCTTGTTAACAGTACTTGAGGACCAATGTCAAAAGGCTTAGATTACATAACTAGACTCACTAAATAGCAGATTTTACCAGATATAAGACTAGTTCTCAGAACTCTGAGGAGATAATAAGCCCACTCTATACCATGATTTACGTCTTGTCTCTAGTTAAGATTAGACTGTAGTTTCCAGGGTCAGGGGCCTTGTATAGATTAGGTAGAAATAGCATAGGTCTTAGGGGTCTTAGACTCTGGTGTCAGAACACTGCTGTAATGTCAGGAGCAAGTGTCGAGCCGTTTGTGTACAACATGAGGCAGTGACATCAGTGTGGAACTTGGGATAACTTACCAGACATGATAACCAACATTGTAATCTTTTTGGAGTAAGTTAGTTTCTATGCAAATTCTGATTGGGAATTGTCATAGGGCAACATTCCTCTAGAAACGTGGTCCTCCCGTAATTCTGCTCCCCTTTGCACTTGTTCTGCACTAAACAGCAGCCTGATCCATTCCCTCAGAAAAGAGGGACTTTGGGCTGCTTAGCAACAGTGAATGCCAACTCAGCCTGGCAAGTCATGGCCACTCCCCCAGCATTGGGCTCAGCATGGATAAGGTAACATGTTGCTTTCTTCCTGGCTCTCTCTGTAAACTTGGGAGTGGAGCACTTGACTGAGCACAGTCCGTAGCTGGACCTTGACATGCCTGCACTGATCTGTCTGACACAGTAGCTTGTTGGAGAGATTGCTGATCCACTGCTGCAGTAGGCCTGCTGGACTGGTCATGTTACCTCGGGGAGGGGAGGAAAAAGCAGAATCTAATCCCTGCAGAGGGGGCACCCTCATTCAGGCTGTGATGTTACTGATGCACGGTTGACTCTAAACACGAGGAAGGAGGAGTTGTGGGACCGTTAGTGTCTAGTTGAAGCACACCACTGCCTGCCCAGTTGGCTGGATTTAGTGCTTTGCAAGGAAAGCAGTAATGGGATTGTATCTGAGTGAGTAAAATTAGCTGGATGAACCTACAGTAACCGGGAGATCTGACATGAGCCGACTGTGGAGGCATTTTCTTTTCACTGCTATCATTGAATGGAGAGGACAAGAATGGTGTTATTGAGTTAGTTTATACTAAAGTTGATCCGTTTTTTTTTAGTCAAAGGTAAGTGCCGTTAACATATCTTTTAAATTGTTTGCTCAGTGTCATGTAGCCTATTTTCGTTTTATTTTCCATAAACATTGTCAGTTCATGGTTTGTCTCGGGTGCAGTTATACTTTACACACAGCAACAATGTAATGCGTAGTCACGTTTCTAACCAGTAAAATCCCTTCTGCATTGTTATATTGTGGGCGAAGATACTGCAGTAGGGTTGGAGATGCAATTCTTGCCACGGTTCAATGTGCACAGCAGTTTGCCGAGGCTGTATGTTTAATTTGATTGCACAGATTGTATGTGCAGTAAGGTGTGTTGTTTCTCTGCCTGTTAAACAAACCTATTATTCATCCAGATTTGGACTGTTGGCCATGTTGATATAAGCAGAGCTGCTTTGATGTATCTTATCAACAGTAGTGTCGAAAGTAAGGCAGATTTAAAAGTTAAGACTTGGTTCTATTGTGGCATATTTATATTTTGTTTTGTCATTCCCCTAAATGTTTAGGCTGAAGATGACTTTAAGGAATGGAGTAGCACTTAGATATTCAGCGGAGGACTTTTATTTATGGTGGTGGTGGTGTTGTCTTTACAGACTGAACATTGCTCTAAGGTCAATAACATTTTGAAGTGAAGGCCAGAATTATACTCAACAATGTGTTCTTGATTTCTCTATTAGTGTCTCTTCGAAAGGAAAATCAAATCAATACATTTGAGTTGAAACTTGAGTTTACTGAACTGTCGATGTAAATATATCACCCGTCCTCAGGCCTGCAGCTAGCTCTAGCATTGTCAGGTCTCTAGTGACTACAGGTGTCCATGACTCTTTAACTCTTCAGTTACATCACTCTCTTTAAGTAGAGCCTTGTTTGCCCCTCTATACACAGGGAATCAACATTCAACTGCTGGATTACATTTTGATATTGCTACTAAAGAAACTTCCATCTTAGCATTATTTCTCACGGATGAGCCAAAGGCAAGCAAGCTGCCACTCTAGAATGAAAACATTAGGTTAAACTAAGTTGTATGTTCCATGTTTTCTGCATTTTGGTGTGTGCTTCCAGTATTCTTTGTCTCATTAAACTTTCATTTCCTGTTATTGGGTGATTGACACCTGGAAAGATGGACAAGGTCATATTTTTGCAATAGAAACATTAAGACAAGACGAGACACGAGTAAGATTAATTATTATTATGCTTAAGTTTACCTCAGGAGTTTTCTGCTATGCACCAGGATGTGTTGGGTCTGCATACTGGAACACTTTCAGGCCATTAGTGACTTGATATCTCACTCTCCAGGGGTGCATTCCACAATGGTGCTTTTGCTGTACGAGTAGCTGGCAAGCTTAGCAGTCCAGTCAGCTTAAATGAACACAACAGTACTCAACAAATCAGTTAAGACTGCCATTTACTTCTCATGCCAAACCCATGCTGGC